TCCCTCCCTCCTTCCCTCCCTCCCTTCCTTCCTTTCTCCTTTCTTTCTTCCTTCCTTCCTTCCTTCCTTCCTTCCTTCCTTTCTTTCTTTCTTTCTTTCTTTCTTTCTTTCTTTCTTTCTTTCTTTCTTTCTTTCTTTCTTTCTTTCTTCAAAACAGGGTTTCTCTGTGTAACTCTGGCTGTCCTGGAACTCATTCTGTAGACCAGGCTGGCTTCGAACTCATTGAGATCTGCCTGCCTCTGCCTCCCGAGTGCTGGGATTAAAGGTGTGTGCCACCACAGTCTGGCTTCTGTTTTCTTTTCTTTTTTTCTTTTTCCCCGAGACAGGGTTTCTCTGCCTAGCTTTGTGCCTTTCCTGGAACTCACTTTGTAGACCAGGCTGGCCTCGAACTCAGAAAGATCCGCCTGCCTCTGTTTTCTTAATAAAGCAGCAAGACCATCAGCTGAGAGAGAGAGAGAGACATTGGGCATTTTTTGAGGAAAGGAAGCATGGAAACGTGGAGGCAGCTAGGTGGTTCAATGGGTAAAGGTACCTGCCACCAAGCCTGATGACCTAAGTTTGATCCCTGGGACCCACATAATGGAAAGAGAGACACCACTTCTGTAAGTTGACCTCTGACCTCCACACATGCACTAGGGCACAGGGCACTTAAAAAGGAAAACATGGTGGGAGGCAGAGCCAGGCTGATCTCTGTGAGTTCAAGGCCAGCCTGGTCTACAAAGGGAGCTCCAGGAAAGGCACAAAGCTACACAGAGAAACCCTGTCTCGAAAAACAAAACAACAACAATAAAAAAGGAAAACGTGGAAATTTGACTGGCCATGGTGATGCATTCCTATAATACTGGTACTAAGGATGCTGGGATTGGAGGATTGCAAGTTCAAAGCCAGCCTAGTGAAGGAAATTCACCCAAATACTTGAATACTGGGAACACTATCTGAGTACAGAAATAGTAATAGAGACACCAGAGCCCTGCACATGCTAAGCACATGCTCCACCAATGACGCATACCCGAGCCTATCACATGATAGCTCTTGTCTCCCTTACCAAATTGTAAGTGTCACAAAGACTGTGGTGACTTTGTTCTCACTCTTCACTGGATGTCCTGGTCCAGTGCCCTACCCAGCTTGTAGTTATGTTTAAAAAAATATTTGCTGATGTCTGGGTGTGGGGCTGTATTCCCATAATCCCCAACACTTAAGGAAATGAAGACAGGAGGTCAGGAGTTCAAGGTTATCCTCAGCTACATAGTGAATTCAAGGCCAGGCCAGACCATATAAGACTCTGTCTCACATAAACAAACATTTGTTGAGAGGAATAAAAAAAAACATTAAAAATAATTGATCACAATGCAAGGCTTCGTGTGCAAGGCATTATAGTGAATGAGCATTCATTTGATAAATGCAGTCCTCACCAGGTTACAATGAGTGCACTAGGGCCTATCCTAGGGTGCCTAGGAGGTGGCAGGAACGGTGTGAGCTCCCTCACATGGCCCCTTAGCTGTGTTTTCATCGGATGTGCCACTGGGAGTCACCGAGAGGGCATCTCACTGACTCACTGCTGTTTTGACTTGGAATGAAAGGCTGTCAGGGACAGCAAGGAGGAGAGTAGCTGCCAGTCTCAACAGCAGGCTTCCTTCCTAGAGGCGGGGGTGCCAGGATAATGACAGTGCTCAGGACAGAAGAAGGAGGCTGACCAGGAGGGGTGTGTATGAGAGCGGAGTCTCAACCACGGCAGGAGATGGAGAGGAAAAGCAGGGGCTTAGCAAGGGGACAGTGACAGGCGTTCAGAGCGGGCAGAGCTTGGTCCCAGACCCTGCTCACCAAGCAATGAAGATGGGGGGTTTACCGTGTGACAGAGCCCTGCCGCGGTCAGGATGTAGGGTGAAGATGACGAATGAGATGTTTGCTCTCAAGTGTATGTGGGAAGACAGAAAACAGCAAACACGGATGAAATCAGGCCAGAGAGTGATGACCCGGGAACCTTGATGAAACCTGGACACAGTGGAGACCCCTTTAGGTTTGGGGCAGAGAACAGAAAGTCAAGAAAGAGCCAACGAGGTAAAAACAGAGACAGTAGTGAGGCATTGGTGGGGGAGGGACTCAAAGGATAGGGATTCTGAGGGACTGGCTTCTGCTGCTCTGCAACTGCAGGAGTCTGATTTGGCAGAAGCATTGTGTGTGAGGGAGTACACACTGGTGGCTTTTACATTGTACTTGTTCAGTGTATGCATGTACATTGAGTGTGTGTGTGCGCGCACGCGCATGCGCACGTGCTGGAACACGGTGGTCAGAGGACGCTTTGTGGGAGTTGGTTCTCTCCCTCCACCCTGTGGGTCTTGAGTATCCAGGTTGTTCGGCTTCGTTACCTGCTGAGCCACCTCACCAGCCCTTGAATATTTTAAAAGGGAAGAGCTTTTAGGTTTTAAAATATTGTTGGTAACTGTAAAGAACATTTTGTGAAAGATGAACACAGAATGAAGGAGCATCCGAGGAGCTCCTGTGATCCCAGATGTGAGATGGCAGCCTGGATCAGGGACTCTAACAGGAAAGACGGGAGATCTTTCTAACAGGGTGGGCAGGGGGCATGTGCTGACATTGGGGGCCACGGCGCTTGCTGGTGAGGTAGATAAAGGGAAGGAGCTGGAAATCAAAACATTTTTTTGGTTTGAACAACAAGGAGTTGTCCTGTCTCGGGATGAAGAGCCCTGGACGGAAGTGGATTGGGTGGGATAGTTCCACACATCTATTGGAGTCACATTCTGTTTGCACGGCTATCAGACACTGGAGAGGCGATGTCAAGTGGACGGCTGGACAAGGGAGTCTGCCTCTATGGAAATAAATTTAGGACTCACTGACATTTACAGAGTATTTAAGCCCTGGACTGGATGAGATCACCAGACAAAGGGAAAGAGAAGGCCAAGGACTAAGAGGCTCCAACACCTCAGAAGTCAGAGCTCAGGAAGACTAATCAAGAACAGCAGGGAAATTGGAAGGAAACAGGAGAGTGTGCTTTCCTAGAAGTTTGGTGGGGATGGGGGCTCGGGGGTAATTTAGGGAGAAGGATGAGTGGGGGGAAGTAGGGTCAAAGGAATTTTTTTTTTTTTTTTAATTTTTCGAGACAGGATTTCTCTGTGTAGCTTTGTGCCTGTCCTGGATCTCATTCTGTAGACCAGGTGAGCCTCGAACTCACAGAGATCCACCTGCCTCTGCCTCCCAAGTGCTGGGATTAAAGGCGTGTGCCACCACTGCCTAGCCTGGCTCAGATATTTTTTTAATTACTTTTCTTAAGTGTGTGTGTCTCACAGTCTTGTTCAGAGGTCTGATGTCAACTTGGAGTCTTCTGGGATAGAGCTCAGGTAGTCAGGCTTGGTGGCAATCACCTTTGCCCCGAGTCACCTCCATGGCCTAGGTTAGGAGAGTTTTAAGAGGTCAGGGAAGGCCTCTCAGAAGACTGGATGGCAGTGAGGCGGGTAGGGGCCATCTGTGAACCGCCAGGGAAAAGCTTCTAGAAGGAATAGCAGATACAAAGCCCTGAGGCAGGATCCAATTGCCTCCCAGGAACACAAGTCAGCTGCACTGTAGCTGAGACACAGAAATCCCTAGGAGAGAAAATCGGACATACCTAGAGATGGGAACCTACAGGGCTTCCTTGTAAGCCACAGTAAGCCGTTTGGATATTTTGATATCCTTGGAAAAGCTAAGGACAGTACATGGGTCTCGAACCACTAAAGGACTGTTTGGGTTGCTTCAGAGAGAATGAATTATATAGCAGGGCCAAAATGAAATAGGGAATTAAGCTTTGGGGGCACTCTAATTTGTGTATGCAGTTTTCTCTCCTACCCCTCCCTGGTCCTCTCATCCATGGTCATGAGCTCCCATCCCTTTCCACCCTGGCCAGAGTTGGGAACTCAAATGTATGGGTGACTCAGAATTTCAGAACTGCTGGGGGGGGGGGGCGGTCAGAAATCATGGGGTGTCGAGCTACGCTAAGGCAGAGGGGGAGCAGCGTGCCATCATAACCCGAAGAACTGGAGGTCTCCGCCTCCCGTCCCTACTGCCCTCCTCAACCTTGCCTGCACCTGGGACAAAAGCTGAGCTTGCCGTGTGGCCAGCGACGGGTTAAACTGTGCGTGGCCTACAGACGCGAAGAGGAGAGGCGGAGACCAAGTGGTCCTAGTCGCCCGCCGAACCCAGCCGAGCCCGGCCGAGCCCAGCCGAGCCCAGCCGAAGCGAGCATCTCCCGCCGTCGCCGCCGCCCCGCGCCCCCGGCGCCCGCCCCCCTCCGGCTCCAGCGCCTCGCTGCCAGGCAAACCTCCCGACCATGCCCGGTGCCCCACCCGCTTCTGCGACCCCCCAGCCCCGCGCAGCTCCGAGCGCCTGCAGTCGTCGCGCCGTTACGCCAGGCATGCAGGTGAGCGAGGGGGGGGGAACCTAACGCCCCCACCCAGCGGGAGCGGGCCCTGCCCTCCCCAGTGCCAGCTCCGCGCCCTTCGCCTCCCGCCCCTCCTGGTCTGGTCCCTTGTCGGGCTCCAGCCACCAAGTGCTCCTTTCCACCGAGCCCTCCGTCCCTCCGCTGTCCCGACTTCATCCGAACCTCCTGGTGCAGCAGTCAGCGTCTCCGCGGCTGCCTCCATCCCGCCTTTAGCTCATCCTGCAGCTTCGAGCATCCTCCTGCCTCAGGTCCCCTTTCCGCTCTGGGTGCTCCCTCCGAATCCCAGGGCTGATCTTTTCCTGGTTCGCGCCGCTTTCCAGCCCTGTGGAGGGAGTGCAGGCCTGTGGGACTGGCGGGCTTGGGGGCTCTGCTAGGGATGGGGCCCTGTCCCCCCACCCCACCCCCAGTTCGTCTTCTGCGCACAACAGGTCGGTGAGGAGCGCTAAGCGGGTGGGGTGGCGCACCAGCTCGGGGACTGCGGACTTCCTGGAGGGGGTGACCAAGGGGTACCGGGTGTGTGTGTGAAGGGGCTGGAGTTGACGTTGGCGGCGGGGGATGTAGCAGGCGAGGGGCAGGTGGGCCCTGTTGTCAGGGGACCACTGGTGTCTCTGGGCCCTCATCCGCTCCACTGGTTCATCTGCCATTTCTTCCCTCCCTTCTCTAACCTTCTCTCACCAAGTCCCCAGGCCTATCTTTCCTTTCCCTTCGCTTTCACCTGGCCTCCAGCTCTGTCTCCATATCCCTTTAAATTTCAAGAAACAAATTCCTAACTCCTCCATCTTTGCTGTTCCTCCCCCCTCCCCGTTCCCATCCCTTCCTTTTCTGATTTTTGCCTTCAGCACCATGTTCTTTTCTATCTCGATGACTTCCCCCTCATCTCCGATCTCCATCGCGTCTTTTCCCTTCTCTCTTTGCTTCTGTCTTGACCAGACCCCTCAATCCGCACCCCCTTGCCGATTCGCTCACTCTCTCCTCCCCGTCCTCTTCTCCCTTCAGCTCCTCTTCCCTCGCCCTCTCTTCCCAGCGGCTGGTCACCTTTCTTTCTACTCTTGACCAATCTTTTCCCTTTCAGCCCTTCACACCCCTCACACCTATTGTCCATCACCTCATTCCCTCCCCCTGCTGATTCTCTGGTAGTGTTCAACATGCACATAGAGATGAGGAATCCAGTAGACACAGGGTGTCACATGCTCCTCTCTGGAGACCCTAGCCCCCTGGGATTCACCACCCTCAGCTTGGAGACTGTGTGCACTTCCTTTCGGAACCAACATCCAGACTCTCCTAGGACTTTGCCCAGAAGAGCCACAGTTGAGGGGGTGGCTACCTTGGAGCTCCACCTTCTCTCAGAAGGTGCATTTGGACGGTTAAACATCCAGCGCAGAGATCATGTTCTGGAGTTCCTCTCCCACCTACCATTTTCTCCCATTTTTCCGAAAAGGCAGCTAGCTTCTGGGTTTTGTCACAAGAGAAGTGCCTGGCCCTACAAGAGGTGAGGGGGCTTCTGGCGCCCCTCCACCCCCCAGCACGCACTAAGATTGACTTCCCCTTCCCTCCCCCACTCTCAAACTCCCTCCCTAGCGGTAGGTGCTCAGGGAATCACAAGGTTCTTGGCTCTAAATTAAGATCCAAGAAGCCTGAAGCTGTGGGCAGAGGAAGTGAGACGGAAGGAAGCCAGAGGCAAGAGTAGACAGACATTGGGGCCAGGAGGTAACAGGAACCCATCTGGGATGCTGTAGGTGGGGCGGGGGGCTACTTCAGGGAGTTTCCCCCTAAAAGGATGCTGGGAAGCAGTGGATGCTGGGAAGCAGCAGCGTGGCTGGTAACTGTGCCGTGGTGGTGGGGTGGTGGCAGGAAGGGGCATAATCGGTGGATGGATGAGCTGGGGAGCACACAGGGCAGGGTCGGCTGTGACACCCTCGTTTTTCCTCCAGTAAAGGCCGAAAATCTGGGTCACAGCTGAGGAAGACCTCAGATACGAAGTGCAGAATGTGGTAAGTTTGGCCCAGCAGAGGGAGCTTGGAGACCACTTTCCCTGGGGAATGGGGCCCTTTCTCTGCCTAGGCCAACTCAGGGCCACTGGAGGACTGGCCCCCTAGGAAGAGACAAAAGGAAGCCAGGGTCTTCCTAACACACACCTGCTCTGGCAGGGAAACCTGGAGGGAGGTACTCAAGATTTCCCGTGTGAGCCTACCCTTCTTATACACGGGCCCACGGTGGCCTGGACCTCACCTGCTTTTTCTCCCTTCTTACAGGCCTGCTCTACTGCCGTCCCAACTCTTCCCTCTCTGGCCACTGCTGTTGCTCCCCCTCCCGCCGCCTGTGCAGGGCTCCTCCCCTCGATCCCCACCAGCCCCGGCCCGTCCCCCCTGCGTCCGGGGTGGCCCCTCGGCCCCCCGCCATGTGTGCGTTTGGGAGCGGGCTCCTCCGCCAAGCCGGTCCCCAAGGGTCCCAAGATCACGTCGGCAAGCTCCGCCAGGCACTGCACCTCCTGCCACCCCATCAGGCTTTGAGGAGGGGCCCCCCTCATCTCAGTACCCCTGGGCCATTGTGTGGGGTCCCACAGTATCTCGGGAGGATGGAGGGGACCCCAACTCGGTCAACCCTGGATTTCTGCCCCTGGACTACGGTTTTGCAGCCCCGCATGGGCTGGCTACTCCGCACCCCAACTCAGACTCCATGCGGGATGATGGAGATGGACTCATCCTTGGGGAAACACCTGCTACCTTGAGGCCCTTCCTGTTTGGAGGGCGTGGGGAAGGTGAGTGAGCGAGGCTGGTAGGGGTGTGAGGGATGGCAGGGTGGTTGAAGACTCTGAACTGAGTCCTCATCTGTGTCTTCAGTAAATGCACTAGGTTCTAGGCTGGCAAGGATGCAGAGGTGGGGATGTTACCTGCACTCTGAAGGAGTTCAGGTCCACTGTGGAAGACAGATGTGTAAACATGTGGGGATGAGTCAACATAATAAACACCCTAAAAGAAGCGCTTACGGCACGTTGTTAGGAAAACAGAGACGTGAGAGACTGTTTCGCCCTGGGGATCGGGACAGATCAAGCAATTTACATGTGAGACAGACCTTAAAAACAGAATGGGGTGTTCCAGGTAGAGGGTGCTGTGGAAGAAGGTGGCCACCAGCAGTGTGTTGTTAGCACGTATTGTGCTGGATGGTGGCTTAGGGTTGGGCCAGGGAAGATCGTCTGATACCTCTACCCCCATTTCTATACAGGAGGATAGTTCTCTCTGACCTTGGAGCCTCATCCTCATCACATGTATGTGTAAGATTTGGTACATGTCATGTTTGGGAAAGTAGAAGAGCTGACAGCTCAGGAGAAAGTCGGTGATTAAAAAAAAAAAAAAGGAGAGGGAGAGCCCAGAGAAGTAGACAGGCAGTGTGCACTGGCTGGGCAGCACTCAGCCACACCCTCCTCGGAGCCTGCCTCAGGCCTCCCTCTCAAGGCTATCTTCCATCCTTATCAGGTGTGGACCCTCAGCTTTACGTGACAATTACCATATCCATCATCATCGTCCTTGTGGCTACGGGCATCATCTTCAAGTTTTGGTAAGCTGGGGGAGAGAGATGTCTGAAGGCTTGTAAAGGCTAGACAGAGGGTAAGATCAAGGACAGCAGTTTCACCGGAGGAGGAAATCACGGATGAAGGGAAGAGCTTGGGGGAAAAAAAAAAAGCTAATTGGAGTGGAGGAGGACTGAGAGAAACCAGTGCCGATTCCTCCAGAAAAAATACAAGGGTAGTGGGAGGGAGGGGATTATTTATCTATACCGGGGACATTGGTGGGCAGCTCTCCAAGACAGAGGCAACTGAACCAGGCTGCAGAACCCTTTCTGAGGGCTTCTGTCCAAGAGGAAGGAGATCGGGAACTTTCTTTGTACACATTTAATAGTGGGTCACGTAGTCCTTCACACTTTACTGAGAGAATCATTAGACTCAGGTGCCCAAGTCATTAGCTGACTTTGAACTAAATCTGCCAGGTACCTGCAGAGGAGAGGAACTGCTCCTCTGGGCATCGGTGTGGCCGTCTTCAGGGGCTTTGTATTGGTGGGGAGGAGGCACTAAGCCTGTGGCTCTCCGAAGATCGTTTAGAAGGAAGCAGAAAGAGTAGCTTGCTGGGTGCATGGTCTCAGTTTCGGCGCTGTGGGGAAGTTGGAGCTGCCAGGGCGGGAGGGAGAAGCTGGTTGACCAGTGGTGCTGGCCTAAGATAGCGGGTACTCTAGTGTGTGAAAAGCCCTCTGTCCTTCTGATGCTCCAGCTGGGACCGCAGCCAGAAGCGGCGGAGGCCCTCAGGGCAGCAAGGTGCCCTGAGGCAGGAGGAGAGCCAGCAACCACTGACAGACCTGTCCCCCGCTGGAGTCACTGTGCTGGGGGCCTTCGGGGACTCACCTACCCCGACCCCTGACCATGAGGAGCCCCGAGGGGGACCCCGGCCTGGGATGCCCCAGCCCAAGGGGGCTCCAGCCTTCCAGTTGAACCGGTGAGGGCAGGGGCCAATGGGATGGGAGGAGGAGGAGGAGGGAAGGCAACTGAGGTCTCCAGACCTTCGGTGGGTCTTTCCGGGGTGGGTGGTCTTCCCCACTGCAGTCCACGGCCCTCCTTCCTGACCTGGTTCCCGGGCCTCTCAAGGGGGCTGTCGGCTCCTCTCCCGGGAGAAGGGGACTTTCTGCCCGTCCCCGCCATGCCCTACTCCCCTGCCAGCCTTTAAGTGAAGCTCTGCCCTCTCAACCCTGAGTACCCTTTGCCTTGGACTTCTCCTTCTGCTTCAGCCTACCCCTTGGTTCCTGACTATGTACTTTCCCTCTTCCTCTCAGGATTCCCCTGGTGAATCTGTGATGCCCCCCCCCATGTTGGGGTGCTGCCAAGCAGGAGGCCAAGTGGCCGGCATAGCCACCATCCACTGAGGGGGGGGGCAACCGTGGGGAACTGGGACCATGGTGGGGGGCTCCCAGCTCCTGCCCTTGCACACCACCTGGAACACTCACTGACCCCATGGGCAAGCCCAGCCGTTTGCCCTCCAGTGTCTGGGGGCTCCCCCATTCCCACCCTTGCACATTCACATGAAAGCCTTGCACACTCACCTCCACCCTCACAGGCCATAGCACACAGTCACGCTCTCCATGCTGCTCTTCTGCTTCGTGTCCCCGTCCGCGTCCGCTCAGCTGGCTCCTAGCTCTCCCCCTCTTGTTACACACGTTGTACCCCCTTTGCATCTGCTGCGCCCATCTCAGACCGGGGATGTGCATTTCTGGCCCAGTACACGGCGCAGTGCTCACGCTGCCGCATCCACACCCACTGGTCTCATTTCTGTGGCCCTTGCATGCTGCCCTCGAGGTGGGTGGGAGGCGAGCTAGGGGCTCCTCGTGCCGTCTGTCACAGCCCCATCCCATCCCATGCCTTACGTTTCACCGTCCTTCCATCCCAAGGGCACCGGCACTACTGAGGGCTCCCCGACAGGAACGGGGGTAGTGAGGCCCAACTGCTAAATTCTGTCATCTGAAATATGGGTTTGGGGGAGTCGCCTGCTGCACCTGAGAAGGGACTCCCATGTCCTCCCTTCCTTCCCAAGTCCCTTGTCTTGTCTGTCCTGGCTGTCTGTCTGTCTGTCTGTGTGTGTGTCTATGGACTTCAGAGCCCCCTGACAGGTCCTCCTCCCCCCACTCCTCCCTAAGGCCTCCCTAGCTGTACCTAGGCTGCCAGGGACTGAAGCCAGCTGGTTCACGGCCATTGAGAGCTCTGCCTCCACACCCACCCTTCTCTTCCCGGGTCCCCTCCCGTCCCCTCTTCCCTCTCCTGCCTCTCCCCCTTTTCCTCTCCTCAGGTTCTTCCCTTTCTCGTTGTTTCTTCCACGTCCCTCCTTCCTCCGACCTGGCTCCTATGCTGTGATATATATTTTTGTATTATCTCTTTCTTCTCGTGGTGATAATCTTGTGGGATGTAAGTTTCAAAATTTTCAAATAAAGCCTTTGCAAGATAATGAAGTCCCCTGTTTTGCCTTATAACACACACACACGCACGCACGCACGCACGCACGCACGCACGCACACTCACAGGACTGGCAGGCAGGAAGTATGGTAAACACAGGAAGATGGGGAACTTCTCCAGACTACACTGTCACCTGGCCTGCTGACCTGAAGCTGGAGGCTGATGGACGTCTGAACTTGGGACGGACTCGGGGGAGGGACTGGCATCAGGAGTGTGGCTTGCTTGCTCCTTCTTAGTGAGGATCGAGAGACCACGAGAAAAGGGACAGAGAAAGGGGGGACATTTCTTAGGTCAGGCAATGGGCAAGCCAGAAAGCGACAAATTGATTGGAGACAGGGTCACTGTAGTCCAGGCTGGCTGATACTAGATCCTCCCACCTTGGCCTCCCGAAGTGCTGGGATTACAGGCATGAGTCACCACACTGGGCAAGACAGCTAAGACATCGGATAAAGGGTCAAGGGAGAGAAAGATGGAGGGAAAAAAGGTTGAGCCGGGCAGAGAGGGCTCTATCTGGTTTATTTTCATCCTTGCTCCTTCACATTTCCCTACCCACAGCTGCCCGCCAAAAGCTATGCTGCACCAGAAGCCCTGTGGTTAGCTCATTAGCTTTTCCATTCCGAGAAAGGCATTTGCTGGGGTGTGGGGGCGGAATCAAGGGGTGTGTCTGGGGAGGGAACACAGGCTGCCCAGCTGGGATCAGTCACCTCTGAGGTCCCAATTCTAGGTTTGGCTCTTTAACAGCCCTAGTAAAGCCCACACATCAGCTTCTCAGCTGTTGCTAGGTTCTGTTGCTGTGGTAACCACCTAGGTCTTGCTCACCCCCCCCCCCAATCTGTGCCTCACCTGCTCCCTGGAAATGGGTAGCCCCAGGAAGTAGGAAACAATATAGTATCCAAGAGCGAGCGCAGTGTGGGCTGCCTAGACTGTCCCTGCCTCCATGCGGTTTATATAAAATAGGATGTCTGTGTGTGTGTGTCGACGTATCAGCAGAGGTCTGAGGCAATCACGCACAGTGCACCAGAGAACCCAGAGGGACAGGAAAGAAGGGAGAGAGCCCCCGGGAGGAGACCAAAGGTGCAGGGTGAGGTGCTGACAGGCTGTGCTAAGGAAGGGCTGGGGGAAGGTGAGGGAAGCCTCCTTAACCTTTCCAGCTTTCCCCACAGGGCTGGAGCCCTTGCCAGAGGAGAGTGGAAGGAAAGGGCATTTGGTGCAGAAGGGCAAGGAACTCGTGTTGGGAGGGCTTCCTGCTCTCACCTTCAACAACGCTCCTCAGAGGGACAGTGTGACCCTGTGGCTCATCCATATGCAAAAGGCACACACGAAGTCCCCTAATGAAGAAGGAATTAATTGCTGTCTGATTAGACTGTGGTTCTCCTAAATTTAAATAAATTAAACAGGCCATTAAAGATACTGGAATCTCGCCTGTTCCCTTTCCCTAAATGCTCTCTTCCCCATGGAAAGGCATATGGCTAAAGGATGGGGAGAAAGGAGGCAATCTGGATGTCTGGATTGCCCAGAGTTGTGCTAGCCGGGGTCGGTGCTAACCCTGACAATGCGTGAGGCTCTGGGGAACAGAGCTTAATTTTCCTCTTTCCAAAAACTGGACCGGTGACTCGGATCCTCAAGTCCTCAGAAGGCTTTGGGGTAATAGACTTATAGAGGGGGAAGAAAACAAGCGCCAAGCTGCTCTTCTGGAAGTTTCTTGAAGGCAGCATGGCACAGGCCTGACTGAAAGCGTCATCTTCTATCACCAAACTCTCTGTTGAGGGAGTCCATGAAATGACTCAGCCAAGGTTCTCCTGGGCACTGTTGTGGCACACACCAAAGAGGGGAAGGGGAAGGCCCCGGAGGAGGGATCTCCTAGCAGAGCTCAGGGTGTGGAAATGATTCAGGATGGAAACTGTGCCAGCTGGAGAACCCCAGGCTAAAATTAACAGCCCTCCCCCCACCGTGTCCCACACTTACTGCTCCAAAGCTTTGTTCTGGGGACCTGAGTCGCTCCTTACAGCAAAGGCAGGCGGGAGGGAGGGAGGGAGGGGCTGCCAGGGGCACAGAGGCTCAGCAAGTGGTCCTCAGTGTGTACATGAGGCAAAGCCGGAGAACCAGGGCCATTGGGGGTTGCTAGTTTACCTCCACATTCCTTTCCTCTCCTCCCTTCTTTCTCTCACCTCCTTCTCTGTTGGAGGCAAAGCCTGCTCCATGCAACCCAGGCTGGCCTGCCTGTAACTCCAATCCTGCCACAGCTACTTGAATGCTGGGATTACAGGTACATGATGACTGAGCCACGTAAGCCCTTGTCCTGCTAATTCGCCACTGAAATCAACACAGACTGAGTTGGGGGGGGGGGCGCTCAACAATGTGATAAAAAAGGAAGAAACGCTTTGCATGGGAGCTTATCCCTGTAATTCCAGTGCTTGATGAGGAGATCAAGGCCATCTTAGCTATGAGGTAAGTTTGAGATCAGTCTGAGCCCTGTGAGACCATCTCAAAACACCAAACAACAAAACAGTGCTGGGGAGATGTAAGTATGAGGATCTGGGTCTGATGGCTCAGATCTGTCATTCCAGCATTGGAGGCAGGAAGACTCTAAGGGCCCGATGACCAGTCGATGTAGTCAATTGGTGAGCTTTAGGTTCAGCTAAGAGACCCCACCTCAAAAGGAAAAAAAAAAAAAAAGAGCACAGGGACTAAGACAAACATGTGATAATGACCACTGGCCTCCAGTTACACACATATACACAGAAACTCAAACCCAAACAGATAAAAAGTGTGGTGGCTCATGTCTGTCCTCCAGCACTGAGAGGGAGACTGAGGCAGCAGGACTGGGAGTTCAGTTATCCTAGTAAGTTCCTGGCCAGCCTGGGCTACAAGAGATTCTGTCTCAAAAAGTAGACAAGACTGCCTGGTCAACTTGACCCCAGGCTAAGCCAAAGCTACGTAGTGAGACCCTACCTCAAATTAACTAACAAATATATAAGGGTATCATTTGCTATTCCTGGCTGTGACTTTGGGGAGAAGAGTCACTTAGGCAGTCTTTCTTTAATTATCTATAGAATAAGATCGTAGTTATTTGTTAGAGTAATTTTCCTTTCTCACTGAGGAAACTCAATTCTGCATTTGCCAAAACAGACCTGAGCTCAGATGGATTCTAGCTAGATCATGCTGTTTGCCCTTGTGGCTATACAGATTTACTAAATAAATAAATAAATATTAAAGATTCTTCCCAGGGCTTGGTACTGAGATGGATTTCTGTTAATCACATCCTTTAATCACACCAGCCAATTGAAGCAGAGGCAGCTGGTACAGGAGACCACCAGGAACCTGCAGAACAAAGGGAATCACTTCATTTATCGACTTTGAGAGTAGGGGGCTCAGAGCCTAGCAGGTTAGTGAAGGAAGCAGATGGGATATAAGCAGGCATCTAGGAAATTCATCCCACTGTCCCATCCTGCCTTGGGGCTGTTACTTGCCAGTAATTTAGCAGCTCGGGGAAGGTACAAGACGGAATAGAAGGAAGCTGATCCCCTCTACAGGGCAGCACCTGTGACTTAACACGTATTACTTCAGTATCTACTGTGAACAGTTTCTTCCCTGCCTAGAGATTCAGATATACAGATTAACTAAAATTAACAGTAAAAGCTATAGATAAGAAAGGCTTGAAATCCCATCACTTAGGAGGCGGAGAAAGGTGGATCGAAGATTCAAGGTCAGCTTTAACTATATCTATGTAAGATCCTGTTTCAAAGACAAAGACATAACCGGCGGTAGAAACCCAAGCCTTTAATCCCAGCACTTGGGAAGCAGAGGCAGGTGGACCTGTGAGTTCAAGACCAGCGTGGTCTATAGGACAGAATTCCAGGACAGCCAGGGCTACACAGAGAAACCCTGTTGTGGGAGGAAAAAAAAAGACAAAGACACACAGTAAATGTTATAAAATTTTAAAAGAAACTTTGGGTTGGAGCCATCAGGGAAGGTCTCCTGCAATGGTTCATAATGAATTGCTCATTTATGCAACAAACGTTTACTGAACAGCTTAAGTTCTGGGATCTGTTGATACCACAGGGAGCAATTCAAAGTCCTCGCCCTTATGGAGCTGGGAGGTGAGCTGTAAACAACATCAGGTACGCGTTGTATTTAAAAGTAAAACCTGGTAAGATAGAGATGTGGGTGGAGGCAACAAGAAAAGACCAAAGCAACGATAGAGTATCGGTGTGGTCAGAGGAAGACCGGGTGAATTTTGATAGCACTTACGCAGGTACCTCAAACAATTATGGATGGGCACATTCTTACCTTTCCTCGACTATTCAAAGCAATGAGACTTTCCCCACCCTAGCTCACCAGAGACATTCGTGAAGACCCAAGGAAAAAGGTTAATTCCCTAAAACTGCCTATGACACTTGGAAATGACCTCAGAAGTGACCCGTCTGAAGAATCCGTACCGTCTCTACGGGGCTGAGGGATGGCTCAGCGGTAAAGGAGTGCTTGTTGCTCTTCCGGAAGACCGGAGGTTCGATTCAGCACCCGGGCAGGGAAGCTCGAAGCTATCTGCACCTCCAGTGGGCTGCCGAGGGCATCCGCACACACTTACACAGATATATACCTATCAACAAAAATAAATACATCTAGAAAAGGAGCGGAGAACCTAAACTGTCTTTTAATGCCTTGATGCATAATTCATGAACCTGTCCAGCTTCCTCGCTCCCACTTCCCCCGAAGTCTCTTCCGGAAGCCCGGGAGCGCTCTTCGAATGCTCAGCTTCAGCCCGTCACAGAACCCGCCTTCACTTCCGCCGAGGCGTCACATCAACCGATCGCTCCCCAGGTCCCTGGGTAGGAGCCACTTCCGCCCTTACTTGTCGTAACTTCTGCCCTCAGTATCCCTGAGCCCTAGCAGCGCCGGATGTGCTCTCGCCGGTCCCGGAAGTGACTCGGTCTTTGAACTCTTCCCCCCCTCACTATTCCCCCCCCACCGACTCCTTTCCTGCTGCCGCCC